AGGTTGAACCCCAACTTTAAGGGTCCCCCACCACCCCACCCTTGGAATATCGTGAGAGAGGTTAATCGCGAGATGTGCCCCAAGAGGTCAGGGAACAAGAGTTGTCTGTACACTGGTGCCCACAAAGAGTCACAATCCATGTTTCAGGAATCGAACTCTCATACTACGACTGCCAATAAGGCTAAGTATACCCCACCCTTGTTCTTTGCACCACTAGGATATGCCTCGGTGGACAAATATATATATACATATATATATATATATATATATATATATATATATGTATATATGCTCAAATACGAGGGGAGAAAAGAATAATATACATACAAAATGATCTTTTTTTTATAGATCCTAATATACTATTAATGGTTTGAATTTCAAAAATAGAGAGGAAAACTTCTTGATGGAGATGATTAGCATGTCCTTTCTAATAAAATTAAGGTTTGGAGTCCTGCTTACAAATGATTAGTGATACTTTACCCACATTGATCACTTATACAATTTACTCCATTTTAACTTGAATTGAGTATGTATGAAAGTTTACAGATAATTAATTATATTTATGCATACTATCAACTGCATCTTTAAGTTATTATATGTTGTTATTTATGTGTATTTGATATAGTTCCCTTAGTCATTTGGGACAAAATGGGGGAAAAGAGATTTGATTGTAATTTTTAGTTGAGAGTTAACTGTATTTTAGAGAGATTTTGTGGTGAAGGGGAGAGATGATATTATCTTTCATTCATGGCATTCCTTATTATAATGTCTTTGAGTTTCGATGTTTGGTGATATTAATGTATCAATTAGTATTTTGATTAACATTAGTATAGTTCTCATTCTAGCTAGTATATTTATGATAGTAGGTTTCAATTGTTATATTTTTTGTATCACGTGCTTTTATACTTGGTATGTGAGTTGTTGGTTCCAGGAAACGGGTTAACAAGGAATGCAAGAGAAGAACATTCAGTTTGGATTTGGGTAGATTAGTTTTTATTTTTTATTTTCATGACTTGTATTGTATAGTTTTGTCACAAAATTCCAAAGGGGAAAATTGTTGGGATTTATGGTGTATTAGCAATTTTGTAGACAAAATCAAGTCCTAGTTAAATTGTATTAGAAATTTATTAAGTTGTTATTAAGTCAAAATATGAGTTATTGAGTTCTAATAAAAGTCAAAAGAGTTGGAATTTGTAGTATAGTCCTTGAAAGAGTCCAAAATGTTCAAGAAGATCACATGTGATCAAGGGAATGCAATTACAAGTCTAAAGAGTGTCAAAAAGTCACACAAGTTACGTTTCAAATTCTCAATCGTAACTTGCAATGTATTTTTCTTATAGAAAATAATGAAATTTGGACAAAGCTAGAAGAATTGTATTCAGTTGAATTAGCTTTCCAACACATTTTAAATCACATCAATTAGATACTGATAGAAAAAGTTATGATAACAATGCTGATAATTGCTCAGTAGTTGTTCGCCTATCATTGGCCTAAAGCTCGAACAACAGTGTTAAGTGTGAAACCCTAGTTCAAAATATTCAACAGTTTTATTTAGCCCATACAATCTAAATATCTCCTCATATAAATACTGAAGCCCTAATATGTTTTGTATGTGGTTGTTTATTATATGACTTCTTCATAAATTCATTCCAAGATCTAAGAAGACATTTAAGCATTGAAATTAATTCTTTGATTCTTGATATCAATCAATCACAACTTTTGAAAAACATCAAATTCAAGTAATCCAAACTACCAACTTCCTATACACATACAGGAAGGTACTTTCTCAATAGCTTTCAGAGATTATTGAAGAATGAGGGATATTAGACCCAAAGCAAAAACAGAGTACAAGAACAAGGTGTTCTTGGTGATTCAAAGTAGATAGACAATTCTGGAAGATCAGGAAACATGTGTGAGTGAAGCATGTTCTAGTAGGTTTTGGAGAATACAGGAATTAGATCAATGAGTCTAGTAAGTTTTCTAGGCTGGATCATACTATAAATTCATATTGTCTATAGTGGAAGTCACTAACTTGATCCAGAGTTTTTACCCAGTTGGTTTTTCTCCAGACATAGTTTGTATTGTTCTAGTAGGTTTTGGAGAATACAGGAATTAGATCAATGAGTCTAGTAAGTTTTCTAGGCTGGATCATACTATAAATTCACATTGTCTATAGTGGAAGTCAATAACTTGATCCAGAGTTTTTACCCAGTTGGTTTTTCTCCATACATAGTTTGTATTGTTTATTGCTTTCATATTATTGATTGTGGAGTTCAAACCATAGAATAATCTGACATCATTGATCAACCATCCAGAAACAATTAAAAGTGACTTGTTGCTTTTAATTTATAAACTCGCTTTTAACAGTGTGTTTTCTATTCTGATTATAAACTCGCTTTCACACGATGACCATTTTAGCCTTGTCTTATGTGGTCAAATGATTAAATTTTTAATTTCTGGGGTCAACTGACGGATTTTGGGGTCAAACAGACGGAAATCGTCATTTTGAACTTTAGCTGCATATTTTTTAAAGGTTTGGTTCTCACGGTGGCACAAATCAAAGGTTTGGGCAAAGTTTGCTAATAAACGAAAGGTTTGGTACTTTGATTGCAATTTTCGCTATTAATCCTATATTTGAGTTCCATTCTGTTGTAAAAATAAATTTTATAATAGTGATTTTTTGAAGAATGTATGATTAAAAAGTAATGAAAAATTTAGATTTATGTGAAAAATTATTTTATTAAGAGAGTATTTAATCAATAATGAGTTTGAAGGAATTTTTATTTTTTTTGAAAATGAGGTTCAAACACGTACTAAAAATAATTCATGATGCAGCGGAAGTAAACGGAGCAAATGTATAAAAAATAATCTCAGAAAATACGTCTAGAGATTCTTAATTCTTGTAGTATTTGAGAATTTGGAGTAAGTAATTTGTAAATTCGTAAAGCAATTGACAATAATATGCATCCTGAATCAAGTCCTATGCAATTCATAACGAGCGGTAGACAATGAACCCCAGGTTTTCTTTTTCTTTTTTTTTGGGGGAGGGGGGGGAGGGACCCACACACTTTTTTTTTGGGGGAGGGGGGAGAGGGACCCACACACTTAAACTCGATGTTTATTAGAATTTGAAAATAATCCGTCAATAATTTATTCTTTATTTCAACGATATGACCTGCTTATGAATATTATACATGTCGAATATTTAATAAAACCTATATAATTTAAAAAGATTGATATGTTAAAGGTATAAATTCAAATATATGTTTTACCATTCTGAAAGCATAAATGAGATTATTAGTTATTTCGATAGTAGTATTAATAAGAAAAGACAAGGAAAATGGATTAGGCTGAAGGTGCCTTTGCCTAATTAATTATAGGGGAATTTACCAAAATGTCACTTTTTTTGAAAATGCACAAAAAATTTTGATGTGCACACAATTTGTACAAAAATGTCACTTTCTTATTGTCAAATGTCTAAATTACCCTTAATTTGACTTCTTTGGAGCATTTAATGCTCCTTCATTATTGGTTTTCAAAACAATTAATGTTGTGATTTGATTGTGTACTTTGTATATTATAATCATTGAAAATATGAATATTATATTGTAAAATACGAATTTAGTTAATAAAAATGAATATAAAATCCTTCTAAACCCTAGTTAACATTAAAAAATAAATTTATTGTGAAAGAAACCCTTATTTCATTATCTTCTTCATTCATTTTCTTCTTCCTGAAAAAGACATTACTTCAACCATCTTCTTCATCTATCTTGAAAGGTAAGTTGTTACGAATTGTTTATTTTTCTATGTAATAGCTTACTTTTTTTTAGAATGTTAAAAACAATATGATGGTCTTGTTTTTTTAATATTGTTGAAGGAAAAATATACCCAAAATATTTAGGAAAATGTGAAGTATTTTATATTTAATGAAGCATTCAGTCATTTATTTTTGGAAATAGGTTGTGATGTTGTAGTTGAAGAAATGATTATAACCATTAATGCTACCAAACACATTTGAAACTTCTCGACAGTTTCGACACTCGAACTGTCGAACTCGACATTTTGAAAATGTCGGGATCGACATTTGAATTGTCGTACCCGACATTGATAAACTGCCGGGATAGATAAGTAAACTATCGAATTGGACAGCTGAAAATTCTTGGCACCCTTAATTTGACCTTGTAGTATTGCATAGGTTTAAATATTGGAACGTGTCACTTCCATGCTATTATATAGTTTACATTTTGATTGCGCATAATTCTTATCGTTGCATTCCCAACATTTCAGGTATGAACAATAATTTGAGATTCATCGTGTCGCACGGGGGAAAGTTTGTTTACATAAATGACGAATGGAAGTGGACTGGGGAGACAACCACTTCCATTTTAGTGCCGAGCAGTATCACACTATCGGAGCTATTGTTACGATTGAATGAGAAACTTGGTGTTTTCGATCCGCGCACAAAATTGGAATTGAAGTTCAAAGTTTCGAACATGAATATATCGCCGGCCAAAATACTCGAAGATGAAGATGTAAATTGGTACATATCAGTTCATAAGGAAACTGCCCTCTGCGTTATGACTTTGGAAACCGGCCTGCCAAGTGTTGAAATGGAAAGGGATACAAATTACAGCCAACAATTGTTCGCCGCAGCGGAAGATCACCACACCGTACAGGACGACGACGTCAATCATCAGCAAAGTGTCCCAAACAATAATACAGCGGATACTCCAATTTTCGATGTTCGGACTGCACCATTAAATGAGATGTTCGACAATCCCTTACATGGTACAAATACTGGTAATATTGCTAACGTTAACGAAGAACTATTATCACATTTCAAAAGTCCGGATACATGCGACTAGATTTCCACTGTGAATACGCCGGATCTTACCGAAAGGGAAATATTTTTTACCAAGAAAGAGTTGTGCTCGAGAATTCGTCTACTTGTGTTGCGAGAGAAGTTTCAATTTTAGGTTAGCAGGTCAAGCCAAAAAATGTTAACCGTTGTATGTGCCGACGGTAATTGTAAGTGGATGTTACGTGCTTCGAGTGTGAAGCAGTCCGCCATCTTCATGATCCGTAAATTCAACAATGTGCACACATGTTCCATAGATTATCGTCGTAATGTACATCGACATGCCACTAGTTCCGTAATTGCTGAGCACATTATGGGAAAATTGGATTATACGTACGGATCGTATGATCCTACCGCTATTGCTCGTGACATGGAACGTGAGTTTGGTGTGAAAATTAGTTACCATCAGGCTCGTAGGGGAAAGGTCGCTGCTTTACATTTGCTACATGGTACGCCAGGTGATAGCTTTCAAAAACTTTCTTCATACTGTCACGTCCTAGGAGAGAGTAACCCGGGGACAGTAACGTACATCGAAGTAGATTCTCGTAACAGGTTTCACTACCTTTTCCTAGCTTTCGGTGCAAGCATTCGGGGTTACTTACAGTACATGAGGCCCGTTATTTGTGTTGATGGCAGTTACTTGAAAGGTCCGTACAAAGGTACCCTTCTATTGGCAACTGCCCAAGACACCAACAAACAGATTTATCCGTTAGCGTGGAGGATTGTTGATGCCGAAACGAATAGATCGTGGATGTGGTTTTTATCAAATTTGAAAGATCTTATAGGTGATTCGGACGAACTGGTGTTTGTTTCCGACAGGAAAAATAGTATTGAAAATGTCATTGCTCACCTATTTCCTCGGGCTCACCACGGGTGCTGTGTTTGGCATATGAAAAATAATTTAATCCAGTACAACAACGCAAGTTCAATATTTCTATTCAAAAGAGCCGCAAGAACTTACCGGACTAAAGAGTTTGAAAGACTTATGGGACAGCTTCGTAGGGTTAGTGCAAGAGCGTACGGGTACCTAGAGCGAGCAGGTTTCCCATTTTGGTCACGTGCACTATTTGTTGGCCAACGGTACAACATTTTGACGAACAATAACGCAGAATCTTTGAACTCAATGTTGAGACATGCCCGTTCGTTACCGATCACGTGCTTAGTGGAACACATTCGGCATACTATGCAGAAGTAGTTTTATGAACGTCGAGCAAGTGCAACCGCATGCAGCACCGTTCTATCACCAACGATGGAGAATGAGTTACGAACGACATTCGAAGCAGGTACTAGGCTGCGAGCGCATGGGTTGACAAATAACTTAACACAAGTTGGAATATCGAACGACACGGACATCGTAAACTTCTTCGAAAAGACGTGCACTTGCCGTGAGTTCCAGCTGAATCGTATGCCGTGCGTTCATGCAACCCGTGCTGCTTGCTTGAGAGGTATGTCATTGTACGATCTCTGCTCATCGTATTACACATCCGAGTACTGGAAGGGTTCCTACGGAGAAGCTATATATCCTATTCAGCGTGAAGTGGACTGGAATGTTCCACTCAAAATTACAGGTACTTCTATTATGCCCCCTAGTATGCGTCGTCCTCCAGGTAGACCACCCACACGACGTAAGAGATCCAGACACGAGTACATCACACGGCTCAGGAAATGCACTCGCTGCGGTGGACTTGGTCATAACCGGACCACATGTTCGAACCACACTGTACCACGTCCGATGTAAGCAGCATTTTGTACGTGACTGGTTGAAATTGTAAGTGAAGTGTTCCCCCGCTGTTGTTTGTATATGACAATGTAAATATTCTATTAATGTTTTCATTCTCTTACGCGTAAACATTACTCTTTGTTATATTAGCGTTTCTAGAATGCAAATAGGCACATCGCACTGCATAACTGTCTCGAATCAAAATACAAATTTCTTATGCATAAAATTGTTGCGATTGTTGACACATGTAAATAGAATGTACGGAATATGAAAAGTTCAACCATTATAGAAGCTTCCTTTGAAGTGCATATTACGAACACATGATTTGTAGCGCATAACACTGTCCGCAAAGTTCAAAAACTACGTTCAATGTACACATTAGGTTGTGTTCGTTCACACAAACTACATGTTATATGAATATGCATACTACATACACAGAAAATTTGGCAGTAAACCCCGACATTTCATCTGTCGTTCTCGACAGATGGTGCCTGCCATTCTCGACAATTGTGTGACGCTCCGCTTAACAAAAAACAAAAATCACATAACTTGCCAACGGGAGTTTCCTACTTGCTACAGAATTGGTTAAGCATCACAAAATCCATCCGTTACAAAAAACCACTATACATACATACGTAGAAACCCACACACGCAACAAAGCTGGACTCTTCACTCGGAGCTAACACTTGAACCTTCTTCCCCACTGTCATCATCCGAGCTGATGACAATTACCTCGGGCGATAGAACGCAACCTTGCCCCTCATCCTCGTAATGTTGATCTTCGTCTGCATCCATAAATGGGACGACCTATTCAAGCACATTTCTTGGGGACTCACCTTCACCTGTTGCAACTTTGTCCAGGTTCGGAAAGGGAACGACAGTGATGGCTCTCCTACCACCATTCGAACTCACTTCATCATCGTCCGAAGAAATTATGATGGGACATAGCGGGGTCGAACCGGGTGTCAGCATCGGCTCCTCAAGTGCCAGCGGTGAATTGCTTCCCGTGGACGATGCCATTATTTTCGTACGAAGAAACAGACTTCAAATACTTTGATACGTTCCTACTACAAGATGCCTCTGAAAGAGTTTCATATATCCCACTTGAAGAGTGCAAGCCTTGCTTTATACTGGAGGTATATGAGAACATTTAAACCAATTTACCAACCAACCACCATTTCATTTGTAATTAACACTTGATTGACCATTGGTGTGATGGTTTAGTGTGATGGTTAAGGGTGTAAGTGTACTTTAATGCAGTCCATAAACGGTGAAAATTACGACTAAATTGTACCCATGTGCAATACCTACAATGGCAACATTCCTGCAATGTATTTGTACTTACATTACTTAACAGAATTTATGTACTCATTAGTCACAATTGAATACCGTTTTTGAAGTCTAAATCAAATGAATTGCATGAAAAATTGATAAAATTAATGTCCCTATCAATGAAGATGAACATTAGATGACTTTACAAGCCATTTTAAAAATAAACTTTAATTTCTACGAACAAGCGAATTTATACTCAAACGCATTTCGAAATAAACATACATTGGTTGCAATGTTGGGGCCAACGCAGCAAAGATAACACCGAATTTTTCATTCTACGATAATGCGACTTTTACAATAATCATTGTCCTCGATCGTTCGACCACACTCCATTACACAAAAGATCATTTCATACCATGACTCATTTGTGCAGGTATAACACCTTCAACTCCAATGAAATGAAATTACATAATACTACTACTTCATCAGGTACGATGAACATCAACTTAATTACAGTACAAACGAATGTCATGTCTGAATGTGCGTTCCACTTAACCATATCCCCATATGGAATTGAAGTAATCTCATAAACCCCGTTCACATCATCAGCAATTACATCATATGTGATACGATGTAATCGTCTCCACAGTTGCACCTTCAGGCATCAACCCGGGTTTGGATCCCTTTGGGTGTTATTTTGTGCTATTAACTACACCTCTTCATCATTGTACGAAAAATCGTCATCACACCTCGATGAAATGTTTTTGATATGTGACAAAATAATCCCTCCGAATTAATCAGCTGCCTACCTGCATCAGGTGTCCAGTAAACTGAAATGATAGAGCAGAGCAAGTTCGTAACTATCCATCCAATCAACGTAAGAACTAGAAAATGTACTTACCCATGGAGTAGAAAACGTGTAGGCAATCTACAGGTCAATATATTTATGGCCTGTATTGTTTATGATATGTGAAAGGGTTCATAAACAATACAGGCCATAAATATAATGGTGAAGCCAACATACAAGACAACGAACGAATCGCACCAGACCAACACAGAGGCTCATGTTCGCTAGTTAATAGCTTCGGATGACCTTAGTTCGGGCGACTATAAAATTCATAAGGAGTCCACACTGCAGTTCGTGTCGAGGATTGGTGGTCACAGGCAGATTATTGTCAAAACCCGAAGACAATAACCCGTGAAGGTGAAAGCTTGACACCAGCGATAATGTTAAAGCTACAATTGAGGACAAGGAAGGAATCCCACCTGACAAAGAGTCAACTCTGCACTTCGTGCTGAGGTTGCAAGTACATGTGCAGATTTTTGTGAGGACTCTAACAGGAAAAACCGTCAGTTCGTGTTGACAAGTCATATGACTCGGATGTATAAAAATGATGATATATTCATTTTAGTTATGATGTTGATGTACCCTTTCACATTTCATGAAGAAGACATGCATTATGTCGTCAACGCATACACACAAAATTTACCGACACTACCACCCCATGCTTGCACTAAACATGTATTATAGCAAAGCGATATGTACTCTACAAATGATAGTTTAACCTGTAGCATATTTCAGGAACAGCATATGCATTATGTCGTCAACGCATACACACAAAATGTATCGACTATACCATCCCATGCTTGCACTAAAAATCAAACCAAATTCAAAAATCAGTCCAACAATATGGGTGAGCAAACGTATCAAACCAAAAATCAAACCAAATTCAAAAATCAGTCCAACAATATGGGTGAGCAAACGTATCAAACCAAAAATCAAACCAAATTTGAAGCATGTCTTTGTTACCAACAACGTATCTACTACTACGTCAAACCTTACCAAACCACTTCAACTCACTCATTTCTTTACTCTCTTTGCCCTTCCCCTCGTGTATGGTGTCCAGGTAGGTGGTGCAGGACGTCGAACACGAGTCGATCGTCGCTTATTTGCGCTGCCCACATTGCCTCCCGTCTCCGGTACGGTTACTTGTGCCGGCAACTCTGTGGCAGCACCCATATAAAATATTTCAACAATTTAGTGAAACGGTTCTGTGTGAACAACGCCACATAGTCGTGGAATCAGATTAGTGAAGGGAAAAAAAGCACATACCGTCCACCTCCGTGACGTCATGGGTCGATGGGCCTTCCTTGTCGTCGGTGGGGAGGGTAGGGACTGTCTCTCCTGGGTCTAGTTCAAAGGAAATTGGATGAAATGGAGAAACATAAGATATGAATTATCATTTACGTAAGGGGAAGTGTTTGGTAATAGAACCCAAATCACAGAAGTAGGAAATAATTACGCACGTACCGTTCATGTCCTGCATGTCACCCTCCTCCGTACGGTCATCGTCCTCTGGGGTCTGTTCGTCTCCGCCTTTCCCGTCTAGTTGGAAGACAGAGAACAAATGAATGAACGAGTGAAATTGAATACATATGCATATGACGAAATGAGACGACAGAAGGTTTAAAAAATAGCGAACGTACCGTTCAGTGCATGCATTTTACCCTCGTCTGCATGGTCATCATCGTGTGTGCTCCGTTTGTCGCTGCCTTTCCCGGCTACTCGAAAACAAATAAGAAATTATAGAATGACTGAAATTGAAGACAGTAAGTACAGGTGAATAAAATACGACAAGCATGATATCAGGAGATGACATGACATAAAATACAAAATTTACGCACGTACCGTTCCCCTCCTACATTTCGGTGTCCTCAGCACGAACGTCGTCATGCGGGCTCCGTATGTCGCTGCCTTCCCGTCTACTTCGAAACCAAAAAAAAATTATTATTACAGTCAAATACAATAGACTAGCATATCACGAGATGACATGACATTGAAGACCAAAAATGTGTTACATAGAACTAACGGACATACCATTCATGTCTAAGTTCACGATAGGGGAAGGACGACCACGGTCATCCGGGCACATGTCCATGTCGCCTCCATGTACATCTAAGTAATTTAGCAATTTCAAAAATACATTTGTAAGCAAATGCATACGAAAAATTGCACACATGTTGTAAATGGAAGTAACAGTAACATAAACTCATACCTTCGTGAGGTCGTCCAAAAGGTTTGGCTCATTCACTACCGGAGCTGCAGCGGAAGTGGAGGTGCCACTAGATGGGGGCACCAAGGTAGATATGAAGTCCCTCAGTTTGGCGAACTCCCCGGTGACGTGTTGCATGATTTCAAGTTTCACGGTCC